AGATTCTTTAAGTACAGTCACTATTAAGTAGAAAAAGCTATTAAAGCTTTAGGTATTAAATGGAAGTCACAAACTGACAACTTTGAACTTACATTAAGTTTAGAATTTATATCTCACAATGTCACTAAACGAACTGTTCTTTCTGTGATAACTAAGTTTTTTGATCCTCTTGATTGTTTAGCACCTTCTATTATTGTTCTTAAAATATTCATGCAGAAATTATGGCTAGCTGCATTGGATTGGGATGAGGAGCTATCACTAGAAGTAAAAACTGAATGGTTCACTTACCTAGATAAATTTTCTCACATGCAAATCATTCCCTTTCCAAGATGGCTCAGCATTTTTAATACTACTACTAGATTAGAATTACATGGCTTCAACGATGCATCTTGTGCTGCTTATGCTGCTGTTGTCTACATCAGAGTTTGGAATGCCAAAGATGTTAATGTTCATTTAGTTTTCGCGAAAACACGTGTAGCTTCAGTAAAACAAGTTACATTGCCACGACTTGTGGTGCTATTTATACTAGCCAAGATGTTGAGCAGCCTTAAAACTGTTTTGAGAATACAAAATAATTGTGTGTTCACTTGGACTGATTCTACTATAGTTTTAACGTGGTTACGTAAAACACCTGGTACTTGGACAACATTTGTTGCTAATCGAACAGCAGAAATTTTAACTATCGCAAATAGTAGTCAATGTCGTTATATTGATACTTTTAATAATCCTGCAAATTTAAGCTTACGAGGTTTAAATCCGAATGATTTGAGACAGTCAAAAAACTGTGGTCGAACGGCACTGATTTTCTAAGTCAACCCGATGATATTGTAAATAATGATATAGATATTCCTGAAATAGACTTAGAAGTTAAAACAAAAGTTAAAGTTCACATTTGTATCACTGAAAATAATGATATTACTGACTACATAAACAAATATTTAAACCATTTATTCAATGCTGTAAAAACAAAATTAATTCAATTAGAAGGGATTGTAATTGTTATTTAACTGCTTCTGAAATAAAAATTGTTTTGCTTGTATGTACTCGTTGGTCACAAGCTATTTTAAAGATGAGATTGAAACTTTAACTCACAACAAGCAAATTCACAAAAGAAGTAAGTTTTATATACACTTAATCCGTTTCTTGATGAACAAAAGATACTAAGAGTGGGTGGCAGACTAGTGAATGCAGAGGTTTCGAACTATCTATAGTCTCATATTATTTTAAGTAACAAATGTCATTTATGTAAACTAATTGTTTCTGATGCACATATTAAATCTTTGCATGGTGACTTGCAACTTACCTTTAAATTACGTCAGACAGAGGTACTGGATTATTCGTTTAAAGTCTTGTTACAAGTACTGTGAATAAATGTATATCTTGTTTTAAACAACAAACAGTAGTAAATATATCATACTCTCTAGTGTCCAGTACAAATGGTCTAAATATATTCTAATGTTAAGCTAACAATTTCATTAAGACTTGTAGCTAAGTTGTGCCCTCTGCCACTGAATAACTAAAATTTGTTAATTTTTTCTAACAGTTATGTAGTAATTTGATTTCTATCATCTCACTTTGTGTTACATGTTAACATATTGTGAAGGACTATAGTAGTCCTTGGGTGGCGGAATGTTTAATTAATAATTGTTATATGAACTCTTTGCTGACCCTTTATACAAAAAAAGAAAAATAATGTTTTTATCTGACACTTTCGATTGTGACGTTCTTGTACAAAATTAATAAACACATTCAAGATCAAGATTCGACTTTATTTTTGTTCAAATATAAATGGATTTGTGAATGAAACTTAGTAACGAAAAATTATAGTACATTGATCCGAGAACTTAAATGTGCAAATAATACAAGAAATGATAAAAACTATATAAAGAATAAAAAATGGATTAGTTGCAATCAACTGTTTTGTGTTAATACTAAGTAGTAAACAGAAGTAATAATTGAACATTATTAGCTAGAAGAGTAATATCACTAAATTGTAAGCTGTAAACAATTTATGAAATTCGAATTACCAACTTTACTTTGCAAGGAAAAAAGTTCAGATTCCCATAATTTTCATAGAAGTGGACACGAAAAGGTATCTTAAATAAAACATTAGTTGAACTGTAAGGATATAAATTACTGTACAACTCTGAAGGAATACTAATGTTCAACGTCTTCTTGAAGAAGTTCTTTTTTACGCAACATGTCTCGCCTGATGGAAAATAGCAGCTGCTGCCATGGACAATACAGAATATATCATGATGCTTATGGTACCTTACTTCCCCTCTCCACATGCATTGCTATTACTGAAGACTAAGATTTCCTTTAATAAGTGAAAATAGAATAGTAATTCCGCCTGTGCTATCGGTATACGCTGGCTAGATACCAGTGAGAAGTGATAGATGAGAACGAAAACCGGTCAGTTAGCTCATCGTGACAAATTCTAAAAAAAAATTAACCACAATAGTTTCCAAGTAGAAGCGCGTGCAAAACAACCTGATACATATTACATCGCAAGCAAGGAAACTGTTAGACCCTTTCACTGCCAATACCTTTCCTCCGGACTAAGTTCCAGAGTAAGAGGCACAAACCTCTGTATCTTGTAATTTTAATGTCATGCCCCATCTTTTAAACTGAAACATGATCATGCAAGGACGACTGAACTCAGGGATAAAAACACGAGTGGAACAACAAAGAAATACCTAAGCAAACTTCTTTTGCATGAAGCCTATCACTGACAAGATTTTACACAATAATGATAAAAACAATAAACAGTTCCATTATAAAATTTCCAAAATCCTGATCCCTTTAATTTTGTTAAACGTAAACAATTTGGGAGAACAAAAATCCTTTCTAGTTTGCACACATTTGAAGGTTATTAAAACATAAACTCTCAAATACCTATGTTTAGTGTAATCGTAAAAAACATACAATTCTAGAGACATAAATCGGTTCGTATTTACGATTTTCGATAGAAATTTTAAAGAGGAATAAAACGTGTATGTGAATGACAAGGCCGATATTGTTAGTTATGGTCCGATTACGAGCATTGGACATTATCGTACTGTTACTGGTCGGTAAGTACGAGTATGTAGCCCATAAATCGAATAGCAATATTTTGTTTTTTTACAAGAGAAATATTTTTTTCTTCTACTTCTATGATCTACATATGTCTGAGCATCGTGCTTTCTTTACAATACCTATTCATTCAACACAACCATACGTGATATTCAAAACCTTGCATGCTACCATCAAGCATAGCTTTTAGTAGTGTCAAACCAGAGGATAAGCAAGCTGAAGTGGTAATAGGCTGGTCACATAGCTCGAAGAACCGACAACTGATGGGGAAAAAAGGTTCTTGTGGGGCGATCTGTACGGGCAAGCGTAGCCAAGGATGACTCTCCTACTTGATATAGAGGGACGACATCAAATGCATTTCAGGGAGTCAATGGATGTAGGTGGCTCAGGACCGTTCCTTACGTTCCAGTGAATAGATAATGGCTGAGATGACGATGATGATACCAGAGGATAGTAAGTAAATCCAACCTATTAACAATTTAGGATTGTCAAATGCAAAAATTGATCATTTTTACGTAATATGTGTAAGTTTATGAATTTTACAATCAACTGTAATGGAATCAATTGCCATAGTGATTTAATAATGACGGTAATGACAATTATTAATAAACGGGATTATTTCTTTCCAGTTGACTTTGTATCTACTTTCAATGTCAATAATACAGTGCAAAATGTTGATAATCTAGATGTAAATGCGAGAAGGAAAGGAGAATCCAAACGATCAAAGAAGCATAGGTCCACGTCCTCTTCATCCGGAGAACATTTTGGTGAACTATTTTAAACCATTATAACTACTCCCAGAATTAGTTTATATGGACATTAGATGCAATAGTCATAATATATTTATTCACTACGCCATACATGACCTTTTGAATCCTTCATACTGTATAAAAAGGGACTTAACGAAGCGACTGATTGCAATGTAAAAGTTGCAAAGTTCTGATCCATATTGAATATCTCCGAGTAGGTTGCTGTTGATTTGAAAGAAGACGAATAATGGGCATAACGTAGTATCTTAAATGCGTAAGATTGCAAAGATATTGGAATGTTTAAGTAAATAACTGGATCTTACAAAGCATTATGTACATAGTTCTATACCAAGCTTATATATTATCCAAGTAGATTTTAGAAAAAAAAAAAAAAAATAATCGCCGACTTCAATAATGGTAAAAATAATTATTATGATTTTAAAACGATATTTATGGAACTTCTGTATGGCAAATCTGAAGGTATACCTTCAGATTGGCCACACAGAAGTTCCATCAAAGGTACCAAATCCACCTTTTAAGATAAAAAAATCTAAATTATATATAAAAGACGGTTCTGAGGTAATGAACAAAAGAAATACAACCGAATTGAGGACGTTCCCCTTTTTTGAAGTCGGTTAATAAATATACGCTTCAACAGCCGAATATATTTGATTATATATCAACCCAGATTATATACGAGTATAAGAAGTAGTTTTTTTTTAATGCAAACAAAGCTCTAAGTTATACAAAAACTTAAGATTAATTCGTATTTATCACATTATAGTCAAGTAATTTTAAGTAACAGATTTATTAAATTTACTTATTGTAAGTTCCTTTGAATAATTTTAGTGAATTAAAGTTATAATATAACTAGATCGCCGTATTAAAGACTCTTCTTTTTAGTTATTAAATGGGAAAATACTCGGTCTGCTAGTTTGATACAAACTCTCTGTTAAATTTCTGAAGGATTTTAGTTGAAAGTTAACAAAGAAAACTTATTGAAGTTTTAAAGTAGATGAACAACCATGAATCTTCATAAGTAGGTATAAGTTAAACTTGTCAATGTTACTTTACTTGGCGTATATTTTATTTTGTACCTAATATTATTGCGATAGATAAAGACTGTGAGATATAACAGTATCATTTCTATATAATTCAAAAATCCTCTGTCATATTTATGTTAACAGAGATTTAAAAGAGGTAACTGTTTAGTTTCTTGCTGGTTCTTCTCAACAGATAACAACCTTCCGAACCCTGCAGAAGATAAAAAAATATATAATTTAAAAGTTTTTTTTTATACCACTGAGGTGGCAAACAAGCATACGGCCCACCTGATGGTAAGTGGTTAAATAAGAAGTGTGAAAATATAGGGAACAAGTAAACGTCCCACCTGATGGTAAGCGGTTACCGTAGCCTATGAACACCTGCAATACCAGAGGCATTACGCGCGTTGCCGACCCTGAAGAAACCTCTTTACCCCCTTTTGAAGAACCCGACGCTGTAGTTTCTTGGGAAAATCTCGGTAGGGAGTGCCTTAACAGCTTAACCAGTAACTATAAAATTTGGTATACACGTGCTATATGGAATGGACAAAAAATACAAACTACTTTTTATTCTGATCACGTGCACGAAGTTGCGGAAAAAGCTAACATTTTATTATAAAAAGTGCTCTGATAGTCAACTAAAAGGCTGAGCACAGTAAATTTTACAACCGCTAGCCCAATGGCACAACTGGGATTTATATAATTTGTAAGCGATATTTACCATTACCAAGTGTTAGTCTGAAATTGATTTCAAAATTTTTCGGTATTTGCTAGATTTATAAACGTTTAGACTTCATAAATGAACGTAATATATTGTGCCATTGTGTCACGACCTTTGACTTATGTCTAGGAGAAAATGGCACCGCAAATGTCCGCGCTGTCCAGAAGATATGGTCAAAAAGTGGAGGGATCCTAGCATCAACTGGATATGTTGGGGTTACCAGCGAGCCAGGCGGAGCTTTAAAAGCTTTGTCACGTATACACCAATATTCTGGAGATTTGACTCCTTCATCAGATAGCATACGGTCTAAATAGATCAAATGATGATAATACGCTCTTCTAGACCCTTCTTATACCGTCTTTCGGGGGGAAAGAGATTGTTAGTAATAGGATTTAAAATTCTTATTATGTGTGCGTGCGTACGTGTGTGTGCGTGCGGACGTGTGTGTGCGTGTGTGCGTGTACGTGTGCGTGCGTGCGTGCGTGCGTGTGTGTGTGTGTGTGCGTGCGTGTGTGTGTGTATATGCACGCTTGCGTGCTCGTTGTGTATATGCATATTTAAATTTAATCATTAAACCTTGATCAATGACTCGACATCGACATATTCAAGAGTCATTAATCAATAGATGATCCTATTCTATCCAAAACCGCGGTATAGAGGAAGTCTTATATAAAAGTGTATAATATATAATAGGAACTGTCAAAAGTTATATATCCACCTACAAGTCTCATACGTAGCATTATAATATTATGTTTACACGATACTCACATGGATCATTCATAAATCAACTCTTATTATCTCCCCGATCATTAATCTAGTACGCGACGCGCCATTAATCGTGTGAATATGAGTAATTTGTCAAAACAGACAGACACACAGCGTGACAGATGGAGTGACACACTTGTGTGATATCGATATTATCACTTTTACATACAAGTGACAATTTACGGTACGGTTTAATTATGCAGTCATCTGGACGAGTGGCGGTCCTCCACCGTGCGTTTTTCAAGGCACTTTCTTCCACGCACAACCATTCTTTGGAATCAACTTCCAGCAGCAGTATTTCCGAACCGATACGACAACATAACCTTCAAGAAAAGAGTATATTACTTTTTAAAAGGCTGACAGCACACCTGCAATGCCGCTGGTGATGTGGGCACCAGGTGGGCCGTATGCTTGTTTGCCACCACAGTGGTATAAAAAAACTTAATTACTGATCCGATTTTGATAAAATATCTATGGGACCAATTTCTAAATATATACTTTTAGATAAAATAGATTTTTTTAAATCGAATTAAAACTAACAGAGATACGAGGTAACAAATATAAAACAAGAAAATTGAGAACTACTCTAATTTTGAAGTCGGTTTGAAAATATTCGCTTATAACTTCTCGACATTACGCCGACCAAATGAGGGCGAATTCGAAACAGTAATTATAATTACCATCCGTCCATAAGGACGGATATACTCGTATCCGGGCGGGAGCATCCCAAAATGGATATAGGCCATTCAGTGATACCGGATAATGTGGCCCTTTGGAGTACTCTGAACGGTCAGGGTTTACGTGAGATATCTGGGATTAAAAGCATTTGTAATAAGCTTTCACATCAAAATGTTTTCTCTGAATGCATTTCAATTCATGTTAATATTGTAAACTAACTAGAGGGAGACTTTGTACAAATGTAGTTTGCTTGGGCACCTGTGTCGCATTCGTGTTTCTACTGTGAACCAGTTGTGTTTACATGGCTGTGTTTCGGTTTGAAGGGTGGGATACGGCGTGAATTTACTGGGTACAGAGAAATAACAGCTGATTCCTCAGGAATGGCAATGCATGGGGGTATCATGGGCGAAACAGTATACTCTGTTATGTCCATGGTACTGTTCATGTCTATAGGTGACGATTACCACTTTCCGTCAGTTTGTTTGCCATTCAAAGTTGCATAATTAAAACATATAAAAAATATTAGCTGTATCACACGACTTCAATCGCGTAAATCAGTACATAATGTACATACCTACTAAGTTAGGATATAACTACCTGTCTACCAAATTTCATTCAAATCCTACCAGTAGTTTAACAATATTTTTTACATCTTTATTTCAGCCCTTATTCGTTCACTGCTGGACATAAGCCTCCCCCATAGACTGCCATGAAGAACAGTCCTGAGCCACCAGCATCCACTGACTCCCTGCAATGCATTTCAGGTTATCACTTCATCTAGTGGGGGGACATCTTACACTGCGTTTGCTTGTACGGGATTTCCACTCAAGAACCTTTCTTCTCCATTGGTTATCAGTTCTTCGAGCTAAGTGACCAGTCCACATTGCCACTTCAGCTAGCTTATCCATTTTTTACATACCACACTTAAAATATGCATGCCTTTTTTTGCTAATCGGTTAAGTGTTTCTGCCACGACATATTATAACATGAATAATGTCATTCAAGTTAACATCTTTCACAGGTAAGGCATACAAAAATCCTGTAAAAGCAACAGAGGGTGTTCACCCTCTTAACACATACGGACACAGTCGGGGTCACATTACCTGCTAGCTCGCTATCAACACTTAAACGCCGGCCCATTGCGAGTAACGACAATTTGCATAATGTACATCTGAATAGGGTTGCCTATCAAATAAAAAAAAATGTATAAAAATATTTCGCCAATTATAAAAATCATAATAAATCATCATACACATATTTTGTATGTTCTTGATTATTTAATAATACTACTCTTTAATTATCAATGTATGGTGCATTATAACTAATGATAATAAATTAGAAAATCCAGTAAAACTCAGAAATCGCAATGAATTTATTCAAGTTACATTAGAAATCCAATAAGTTTTTGATGATACTTGAATGAGATGATAAACATCTTACTAATATAATAAAATTGTAAATAGACGATGCCTGTACATCAGAATATTTAAGAAAAAACATGCCGAAACAATAATTTTTAGAAATTTTTGTCTGTCTGTCTGTATGTTCGGCACTATGCAAAAACTACTACACCAAATTGGATGCGATTATTACAGTTGTATTCCCGAAGGTCTAACTTAAATAGTGATGTATGTTTAATCTTAATAGGCACTCTAAAAGTGGTCTATGTCATAGGATTTCCTGCTTCTGAAATCCACGTGTACGAAGCAGCGGGTAAAAGCTAGTATTTATACGTATGTATATTTATGTCAGATTCCTTATATAGTAGAAAAGTAGAATCACCAAGTACATCGAGGGTACATCGTTCCGTGGATGTAAAATAATAATTTTGATGCAGTATTATGAGACACCGAGTGTTCTAATATCTAAATCAGTACCCAAGTTTTTATCCATTGAAATAAAAAAATAAAGTTTAACAATATATGAGAGTGACAACCCTATTCGCACGCAATGTTTGTATTAGCCGAGAAACACGTACCAAATTAAAGTAGAGTTAGGAAAAAAAAATCGTTTTACAATAAACTTTTAAAAACTTATTTACATATTATTCAACTTTATGTTCAGTACATGAATACTATTACAAAATAAAAACTGAATTACAAATTACCAAAACAAATTTGTAAGCAAAATAATATAAGTAAATTTTAATAGAAATAGTAAAATACGATACCTGTTTAGTTAAAAAAAAAAAGTTGTTGAGACTACGAGTTGCAATATTTAATTTGTTATCAATAGTTACATAAATACATACAAATCTATCACGCCTGATTCCCTTTTCGGTAAGCAGAAACAATGTAACGCCAAATGCTTCGATTCGAACAAACCTCTTTCGCTTCTCAATCAATTATTGTATTTTACCAATTATCTCTTGTGGTAAATCATTTTTTTTACAACACATGGGGCAAACGAGCATGCGCCTCACCTGATGGTAAGTGACTACCGTCGCCCATGATCACCCGCAATACTAACGGCATTGCAGGTGTGCTGCCGGCCTTTTAAAAAGGAATATGCTCTTTTCTTGAAGATGAAGAATCATGGTAAAAAACCAATTCTAGGTTATGGCATAGGGATAAATTATTGTTATGGCCATTGCCAACCTGTATATCATGTATTGATTCAAATTTTTATTATCCAGTCGTTTAATTATGGAAAACTAACAAGACCTTCAAAATTTTTATTTATAAACCTTACTTCTTTACTAATGTTTTTTTATACTACTTAGAATGGCAAACAAGCTGACGGCCAATCTGATGAAAAGTGGTAACCGTCGCCTAGAGACATGAGCAGTAGCATGGACATAACAGAGTATACTGTTTCACCCATGATACCCCCCATGCGTTGCCATTCCTGAGGACTCAGGTGTTACTCCTCTGTACCCTGTAAATTCACTTCTATTATTATCATTTCTTTATTGACACGTATATTTTTACGACATATTTTTCTAAGCATATCTGATGGCGAGAGTATTTTTCTATCACCTAATATTTTTTTTATACCACTGAGGTGGCAAACAAACATACGGTCCATCTATTAGTAAGTGGTTCAAG